GGAACAAAACAAGAATGTCTATCTACTCTTACAATTTCTAATACTATACTAGAAATTCAAGCCAGTTCAATAAAGAAGAGGGAAAAAAACACTAGACTAGCAAGTAAAATTAGTAAAGTCTGAAAGATAAACATGATCAACTTTCAAAAATTGATTTCAGCAAAATTTCAAAATTTTCCTAAGATACCAGTTTATGTGTCTGATGAAAGACTTATATGCAAAACAGCAAAAAACTACAAATCAATAATTTACTAAACTTTTTTATTTTGGGGGGAAAAGACAAAAGAAAAGGATGATAGTATTACCTTCAAAGTAGTTACTTAGAATACAAAACATAGACCAAGAACATTCTTACAAAGAAGAAACAAAATTCCATTGTCTCAATTCTTTAAAAAACTAACTTTTTTAAGTGGGCAAAAGACTTGGCTGGATAGCTCACTAAAGATAATATGCATTTTTTAAAAAAGGTATTCAACATCATTCACTATCAGTGAAATACAAATTGAAATCACAAAAAAGTCTATAATATAAAATGTTGGCCAAGATCGAACAACTAGAACACTTGTGCATTACCAATTGGTACATAAAACAATTCAACCACTTGGAAAAGCTGTTTGGTGGCTTCTCATGAAATTAAACTATTATCTAAACCTATGATCCAGCAATCTCATCCAGTTATTTAAAGAAGCGAAATGAAAGCGTATGTTCCTAAGAAGACATCTAGGAACAGTCATAGTAGCTTTATTCATAATAGCTAAAAATTAGAAATCATTCAAATGTTCATCAATGGTTGTATAAATACATCAGTCAATGAGATACTATTCACCAATAAAGAAGAATGAACTATTAATATTCTGAACATGATGAATCACAAACATTATTTGAAGAGGGAAAATGCCAGTGGCAAAATATGCTATATGGATAAAATCCAAGGACAGGCAAAATTGGTCTGAGGTAATAGAAACCAGCTGTAACTGCTTGTGAGGTGTGTCAGGGCAGCCTCGCTGGAAAAGGGCACTGGAACCTCTGGGGTGTTAGAAAGTCCTTCCTCTTGTCTTGGGTTGTGACATACAACTGCAAAAACTCACTGAACTAAGATTTTTAGTTTCAATTCTAAAGAGCAGCTTTAAACAATTAGAAAATAGAAGATGAAAACTGGTATCAGTAGAGTGCATTCAGTAACTTCAAGTAAAAGACAGACAACTTCTCTACTAAGAAAGCTAACGGCATTTTTAAAATTTCTCAGAGAAAATCAAAAGATCTAAATAAGTAAACATTTAAAGATAATCTTCAATGAAATCAAGAACTTATATTCCTAGACATTGAGACTTACTTCACAGCTTCAGGAAGGAGGACACTGAGGCATTGGTGCCAAGACAAATTAACCAGCAGAGTGGAATACGGTGTCCAGAGACAGACAGACACTCGATTTATAATAAGCTGACATTTTAGAACAATGGGATAGGATGCTCTTTTTTTTATTTTAATGAGTACATATTTGCAGTACATAATGATCACATTCCTGTGGGGAGTCTGTACGTGTATACTACAGATCGCAATTCTTTTGACAGCCTCTTTCTTTCCCTCCCTCTCCTCCTTCCATGTCTTGGACCCCTTCTCATCTGCAAAAACTCTATCTCCCGATTTTCTATTATTCATTTTTATTTTGCTCTTCATTTATATTTTGGTTTCTCATGTAAGAGAAACCATGTGACATTTAAGCTTGTGTGTCTGATTTAATTCACTTACTTTTATGGTCTTAAGGCACAGGCAAGAACTTTCTAAACAGAACTTCAATTGTACAAGAAATAACATCAAGAATCAACAAATGGAATCATATCAAATTAAAAGGCTTCTGCACACAACACACTGAAAAGACAATCTATGGAATGGGTAAAAATGTTACCTGCTTTTCTTCAGACAGAGGATATATATAAAGAACTCAACAAAATTAGACCCCCCCCAAAAAAATAAAAGACCCAATCAAAAATGAGCAACTGTAGTGAAAAGATACTTCCCAGAAGAAATTTCAAATATCCAATGAATATATGAAAAATGTTCAACATCTCTGGCCATTAGAGAAATGCAAATTAAAATAATACTGAGATTTCATCTTACTCCAGAAAGATGCCTACCGTCAAAAAAAGCAAATGGTGGTAAATGCTGGAAAGGCTTCAGGGAAAAAGGAACCCTTCTATAATGTCCAAAAACTAAAAACAGAAATTCTACTTTTTCCCAAAAGACTTAAAGAGTGATCTTTTTAATAAATTGTTCTGGATCAAATGGATATCCACATGGAGAAACAAAACAGGGTTCTTATCTCACAACACGGTTTTTTAAAGCAACTCAAACTGTTGAACTAAAACTTTCAGATGATAATGTATTCATAATCTTGAGTTGACAAAATTTGAGGGTTTCTTTCTCCTTTCTTTGTTTCTTTACTTTTGAGATAGTTTTGCTGGTCTTGAATTCCTGGGTTCAACTGATCCTCCAGCCTCAACCTCCCAAGAAATCATAGGAAGGTCCTGGTGTGGAAACACACTTCGTGTTTGAATGGCCAGAGAGAAGTTAATGCTTGTAGTGATATTTTGCATTGTAGTTTTAATTTGCTTTTACCTAATGAGGTTTGAACATCTTGTCATATATTTATTGACTGTGTATCTTCTTTCATGAAGTATTTTATTCATGTTTCTTATGTATTTTTGTGTTAGACTTTTTCTTGTTGAGGTGTAGGGCTCTAAATATTCTAAACACATGTAGAGTGTATGCTCTATGTAATGCAAATATATTCTCCGGATCTTTGATGAACAGGATTTTAAAATTTCAGTGCAGTCCAACTTCACAAATATTTTCCTTGTAGGTAATAATTTCCATGTTCTACTTAAGATATCTTTGCCTGTAATCCCAGCTTTTACACTGAACAACGTCATCTCCCATGGGGGCGTGGCTAGAAACAGACTTGGAAAGGAAAAAAGAAACGAGGAGGAAAGATTAAAAGACTAAAAAGTCAAACAGAACACATCACAGCCACTACCTACCCTGAAGAAGGCAATCTAAACCTCAGAAAGCCGTGAGCAACACAGGCACGTTTCTGTGCAAGCTTTTCTTTTCTTTTCTTTTTCCCCCCTCCTAATGGTGCTGGGAATCAAACCCAGAGTCTTGATATGCTAGGCAAATGGTCAGTCACTGAGCTACATAAGAAATGCTGTAAAATATAAAAGGCACAGTGCCCAAAAGAAAAGGAAAGCTGCCTTCAGAAAGGTTCTAATCTAAGCACAACCATGACGTACTTTAATTCTGGAGTTGTGCAAGTAGGTCATTCCTGTACCTCAGTTTTCAGAGACAGTATCTGAAGAACCAGTGTGAGTCACAGCTAAGGAAATTTCCTAAGTTTTATAGCGTGCATACCTGTAAATGTAAAAACACTTTCTTTCAATCTGGAGTGCCTGTGCCCTAATTTCTGCTGATATTAATTTGAGACAAAGTAGACAAAATAGGCACCGCATGGCAGTAGAAAGGCGTGCACAGGCATAAAGTGAACAGGTGTATCTGCCTCTAGATTATGTGCCCCTGGCAAGCGGTGTTCCCAGCTGTACCTGCTCACCTGTGAGCTGCACTGAGCAGGTGCCTGGTGCCAGGAAAGAGTCAGAAAAACCTACAGAATGACCATGCGTCCAACTGTTAATTTTAAGATAAATTAAATGGAGTAAGAACTTGGAAGCATTTTTTTAACCTTAAGGCCATTTGTTTAACCTTAGTAAGCAAAAAGTATAATAAGCACCTGGCTGGCACATACATCCCCACAGTCAAACCAAATGCATAATAGAGATGTAAAGGAAATTACTGCCTGAGAACCTGATCAAGGGTAAGCTCTAGTAACAAAATTGTTTTATATCCCCAAAGGTAAAAACCAAGAAATTTCTCTCTTTTTAATGACCCTGTCCTTGCAAATTCCTTCTTGAAAAATCATTATACTTCTGCCTTACGCTTTTAAGCTAAGCTGATGTACTCAGTCTTGTTAGCTCTTTTCTTACTCGTGATCCCCTGTTGAATGTTCCTAACCATGTCAGATGCTAGGCTGTCTTTCTATGAAATTCATCATCAGTTGTTTTTTACCAATCTAAAATTATTTAAATTGGAAAGAAGTAATTATATAGAAAATAATATAATTCAACATACACCCATCCCAACATAAAAAAAAATTTGAAGTTTCAGTATAGGACAACACTAACTGATAACATTAGGGAGCTGGACCTAGCTCAACTAGTGTTACTTTCATCTTTTTATTTTATTAATAGGTAAATTGATGGTAAGCCCTAATATTTATCTGGAGAAACCAGGCGGTCTAGAAAGGTCTGTACCCTTATAAAAATTTTTCCACCTAGTGGGCTGGGGTTGTACAGAAATTTAATGGATAAATTAAAGTAAATGAATGAAGAAATGAAATTGTAAGAATTCTTCTAAATTATAGCCATTAAAGTAGTTAGTATCAGGACCAGGTTTAAAAGCCAGCCCTCCTCTTCTTCCTTCTTTGGCAACCTCTCAGGTGCATTGAGAAGTTACAGCTTCATGAGCAGTTCAGTAGTTACCAGGGAGCAGTCATCTTCCTAAAATCACTGACTGACCTTAGTTGTGTTTTTTAAAATGTCATTCTGCTTTTAGACATGCAAACAAAAGAGAAGAATGAAAAGTGCCAAGTGGGATGACATAAGAAAATTACACTGCAGCCAGATCACACATAGAAAATGACAGAAAAAGGGTAGGCAGAGATGGCTCTGTGATTGTCTTCTCACTCTCACCTGATCTAAGAGATATAAAAGGTACAAAGTTAGAATGCATTAGCTGTCAGATCAACAATATTCTATCGGAGGCACAGACTTCTATAACAAGGCAGTTATTTTATAACTGCAGGCTTGAGACAGTCCACAACCAGGGGAACAAGAGGAACAGAAAGGATTCCAAGGCAGGATGTCACAGGACAATGGAGACTGTATACTCACTCTTCCAGGAAGTGCTGTTGGGGTCCGATGATGGAGCCTGGCCGGCAAATCCTGATCCAAGCAATGATTTCAGCATGTGTAAACCTGTAGTGCTTCATTACATAACAGGCTATCAACGTTCCTGTTCTTCCAAGACCAGCTGCAAGACAGGGAATACAAAATAAAGCCAATGTACCCACAAAGATACTGCTGACACTACACCTCGTCCCAAAACTGCATGACATGCGAGTGTATGAAACCCAAGTGTGCATGTGTGTAATCGATGGAAAGAGTCAGAGGAAGCTACCACATATCTGGGGGCAAACAAGCCATGCTATGAAAACAAATGGAGCTGAGACACAAAGGACAGAGACCAAGGAAGATGGAAAACCAGGACACACAACAGAGGGGGCAGAGAGGATGTCACATAACAAGGGAGAAGGGCTGAACTGGAAAGACACCTCGACGAGGTCACCGGGAAAGTTAAAAGCAACTGATGTTTCCGATCTAGGAAAGTGATGAAATCTTGATTTCACCCATGAGAATATTTAGTTAGAAAAGGAAATAGGAAAAAGTTAATGGCTTTATTTTTGATATGTTTAACAATCTTCTCATTCTGAGGGGCCCTTCTGACAGCTTTCCCTGATCAGATATAAACAGAGACTCTGCTACGGTCTTCCAGCGTTTTGAAATCCACAGTATTTTAGCAAACCTGAGACACTATCCTATTGACTAGTGGTATATTGTACAGCATTATTCAAGTTCATGTAAGTAAAAAATAATAATAACAATAACAGGCTATCAATTTTTAAATCCATCCTAATTTCATAAATTTTTTAAAATCAATTTTGTTAGTATACATTTGCCATAATCACCACATTCATCATAGGGAATCTGTGCCTGTACATAATGTGTTACTTCTTTTTATTCCCCTTCACCTGCCCTCTCCTCAACCCTGTTTCCTCTCCTCACGTACAAAAGCCGATTCCATTTTTTCCTTCCATTCTCTTTTTTTTTTTTCATTCTTTTCCCTTCCTTCCCTTCTTCCTTCCCCTCCTTTGATCCCTTTCCCATTTGAATGTGTTTCCTATTTCTCAGTATCTGTTCTGTTTGCTCCTTATTTACCCTTCGGGTTTCAGAAACGGTACAATGTGAAAAGGTGTGCTCTTAAATCACCGTTTCATAACCCTTTTTACATTACTGTTCCACTAGGTGCCTCTTTAGGTATTTTATCCTAATCATGGAATTTACTGGCACAGATTACTGTGTATCTATGTATGCATGATATGTAAATCTGTGCTTTACATAGAAAAAGGTTTTCACTAAAAAAAAAAAAAAAAGAATTTTGCTCCATTGGGAGCATTACTGTTTGAGTTAAGAACACGTATCAAAAATGAAGACGAAATGACAGTCAACATCACAGCTGCAGACACCTGGCATTCCCTTCTCGTTAGCTCTTCCTTTAAAAAATAAAAACACACAGATACAGTGTTTTATTACATGAGGGGTATGTATGTGCATCCCCCATTTTCATCTGAAATAGCTTTTTCCTCAGATCAACCATAACATCCTTTAGAAAGAGGGAAGTTTAAATAAGGTCTCAGTGGGGCTTTTCTTTTAATATTAAGAGGTAAGAGTAATCTGTCTTTCTGTTTGGCCCAGAGCCGGAGGTTGCTAATTCCCCAGATACCTGAGGGGACTATCGGTAAACCTGTAGATAAACCACAGTGTGTGCCTGCAGCAGGAGCTGGGGCCCAGCAGATTTCCAGGGCCACCAAGCAGACCTGGGGAGCAGGTGGTCTTCCTCGGGGAAACACCTCTCACCGCTGCCCTCCTGGTGTAAGGAGCTTGAGGCGCCCACAGTTAGGTTCTGGGTCCTCCTCACAAGTACAGAAGTGGTGCAGAGAATTTTCAAATTTTTCTGAAATTGAGTTGCTTCCCCCTTTTAAAAAGAGTCTATAATTTAGAGCTATAAAAAGAACCTACTTAGCACTCGATAGTTAGGAGCTCTTACCACAAGTGAACATAATAGGAACACTTCACTAAGTTTCTATAAAAACTCAAAAAAATGTTAAAGCATTCATAATTAAAGGGCTCCCTGGCACAGCATGACAAGAGGCTGAAAGGGTTCTATTTCTACCAACTCAAATTCCAGCTGCTTTAGAGTTCCAGCCATTTTCTGAAGTCTCTATTGCATGCCAGAATATCACAGTGTTGCTGTGTCTTAGATTATTATTTGTGCTAGTCAGTTACAAGAACCCATGGCCACTCTTCACCAACCACGAAGTGAATGGCAGATTCGGTGGTAAAGTTCCACACATTCCCAGCAAATTAAGTTTTTAGTTTGTCTCTGGATATAATACTTTACATGTTGAGACGTGACATCTTCCTTCTCTGTCCACTCAGTACCAAAGTTCATCTGGCATAAGATAAGATTCACTCTCCTCTTCCTGTTAGTTCAATCAAAATACTAAGAGCAGTTTGGATTCCCAGGAAATTAAACTGACTTAATTAGGGCAGGTGTCAAAATAATTAACAGGCCTATGGTAGATAAGGATGCTATTAAAAGCAATACAGCTGTAATTAAGCCAGAAGTGTAATTCCTGTAAGAGAATTTTGCATGTTTGTACAGTGGCAGCAAACAAGGCAACACTCTCAAAAGGATGTACTACTACAAACGTGACCTTCCTGGGCAAGAATTCACCTCCATGCTAAAAGTTCTGATCCGAAAATATATGTGATAAACATTTAAGGGTCAAGCAAAGATATTAACAGGAATGTTAACACCAGACAGTTTGATTTCCACAAGGTTTCTTAAGTGAGGAACACTATCCAGCAATTTGCTGAGTCTTAATGAACGTCCCCCTCCATTTCTTCTCCTTAAATTTATTAATCCAAGACACGGCCTGTTAATCCACATATAAACGATTCAACCTGGTTGTCACAAAACTCCCTGACCACACGGATGGCTAAATTAATCCCAGGGAAATAGTGATGCTTTTACAATGACACGAAGCTACAGTCTGCAGATAGGGATAATCTCCTAAACGATGGCTGCTGCTCTAGTCCCTCCATTTCTGCTCACAGTTGCAACCTATGAAATGCAGGTGTGGTCTAGGGCCTGGCCATCTAACCAAAGGAGACAGAAAAGCAAAAGTAGAATGCAAATGAAACACACCAAGGACAGAATTCCTCGGGCCTCCAAGGGAGCAAGCAAGGATCCTTCCTAACAATCCACAGCTTGGGCTCCCCGAGGGAGGGCGTCCACAGAGCGGGAGCCAGCTCCGCGGGAATCCGGGCAGCGGAGCAGGACCGAGGGCCCCAACGCCATGGCCCGCATCTCATCAGGGGCCACCGCGGGCCCGCACTCTCCCCGTCTTCGGGAAAACGCAGCTTACCCTTGCTGCGCACCTGCTCGGCAAAGTACCTCCACCTACTCAGATCTTAAACATAGAAACGAGGGCCTACAAAACAGTATTTTAGTTTCTGTCAGAACCGCAGCCACTCTCTTCTGAATAAGGCAGTTACAGCAGCCCTCGGCACACGAAAAGAACAGCTCCATTCCCAACTCCTACTGGCTCATTAGCATAAAATGCAGCGAAAGGCGGCGGGCGCGCACAAAACCGTGACAACAGCACCACCCAGCGGCGCTGTGCGGAGCTGCGCGTGAGGAGCAGACGGCTCCATCGCGAGGTGGCCTGGAAATCATCTTCTCCCAGACTGGGAGGTATGAAATGGAATGTGAGCCTCGCAGAACCTGACCTCTAAGTTTAGAGCAAACGCCATTCATGTTTTCTGAGTAGCTGACACAGAAATATGACAGACCACATGTTCTAGGCAGTATCTGAGGCATACTTAAGTATTCACCCCCAGCGAGCAGGAGGTCACTCACAGGACAAAGTCTCAATTCATTCTAAGAGGCGGCCCCACAGCTTGGGAAGTAAGCGAGCAGATGACCCCTAGCAAGGAGCAAAGAGGCCTGGGCTCCACGATGCAAATATTAGTAGGCGAGGGGAGGCGCGGGGGGTGCAATGAGGGTCCAGATGGCTGGATCATGAAATGCAAAGACTAAAACATCACATGGGCGAATGCAGAACAGGCAGGAGGTGAGTGATTCTGAGAGCAGACGAGGAGGAGAACAGCATTTCTATCGTGACACTTTTCCCAGCATGCCTACGATTGTACTGAGAACACTGCTGCTGTTATTTCCCCTTTTGTGGAAGGTGATGTCAATGAGCCTGGGCTTGGGCAGGTTAATGGCAGAGAAGCTGCCAGTGGAAGAAAGCCACAGCCCCGCTGACTGTCCACATCCACACAATCCTTTCTTCAGGAACGGGTGATAAAAACGGGTTTGAGTCCCGAGGGCATGACATGAAAGCCTCATTGCTTTCCAAGACGTTAGCTGATTTTACTTTCATTATTTGCTGGTTGGGGCTTGGCCCGGACCATGAGCACAGGGACTCCCCAGATCTCGCACACACCTTTGCAGTGAACCGCAATCGCGCCTTCGGTGTTCTCACAGATATTCAGGAACCGTCGCACGATGTTGTCACTGGGCGTGCTGCCATCAATGAAGAAGAGGTCATAGTGCTCAAAGCCAGCATCGGTGAAGCGCTTCGCCTCATAAATCTTTTTGTTCAGTCTCACAATTGCAGTCACGTTGTGCTTTTTGAAATAAGGGAAGTAGGCTTCGGGGGCGTGAAGAGGGTAACCTAACAGGAAAAAGCAGGAGTATGTGAGAGGTACACATTTCATCTAACATAACCCAGAATCACAGCAATCCCAACAACGAAGTGTGCAAATTCCATCGGAGTTTACGATGTTTCACCAGAGAGTAAAAGGTCACAGCAAGTTTGTAAGAGCAGCCGTCCATGTAACTATAAACACCAGAGGAGGCCAAAACAAAATCCGGGACAGCATATTCCTCCTACTGCAAAAACAAAGGCATTTCTGGAAGTGCTAACATGTGCACAACAGACCTCAAATGATTCTTGAGATTTTACTCCCCTCTGAGCTTTATTCTTCCTTAACGAATACATTTCAGCTAAGGTTTGTTTTGCCAGATGTGTAATATAATATATAATTGTATAACTCTCAGCAAACTAGGTAGAGGGTTATTAAGCAACTACAATGTACAAACCACAATTGTACACAATTCCTCTCTGAATTAAAAAAAAAAACTCAGAATGGTTAGCCTCATGTAACAGATTAAGAAACTAAAAGTAAAGATGTTGATCAAAGGATACAAAATTCCAGTTAAACAAGAATAGGTCCAAGAGATCATGCACACCGTTAACAACAATGTGCAGGATACAGGAAAGTCACCAAGAGAGATGTTTTAAGAGTTTCAAGTGTTTTGTCACAGAAAATGAAAACTACGTGAAGTAACAGACACAATAAACCTGACTTAGCCACTCAACAATGCGTACATATTTTAAAATAACTTCTTATATACCATAAATATATATGTCAGTTTAAAATATAATTAATTTATAAAAACTAAAACAGTAACTTTTTAAATATATTTTACTAATGCTTATTAATTTTACATAATCTTGGGTTTCAATGTGGTACTTTCAAATATGCAAGTAACATATTTTGATCTACTTTCTGTCTAGCCGTCCTTATACTCCCCTCCTTCCTATCCTTATTCTCTTCCTGTAATCTAATAACAGCCCCCCTCAAAACAGTAACTTTGTGACCAATATTTTCTTTTCAGGAGGGAGGTGCTCAGAGTCCAAGCCTCCTGGGATACCTGCACCATGTGAGCTACAATCAGATAAGCTACAGCACTGGTTTTGGCCAATCAGCCCAAGTGACTAGCTGGCCACTACAGACCTTTCCCAGCTGCTCCAAGGGACAAGGGACTAATTTCTCAACAAACTGTCTCCCACACCTTTAACTGCCTCAGAGTCACTGATCCTGGCATACCAAGTCGGTGAAGGGGCCTCTTAGGAATTCATTTGTGATGGTGGGCGGCAGCAGCGGCAGCCTGTGCACTGAACTAGAAGATTCCACAGTGTGCTCTTGGCTACGTTGCCTCCTGCCTTGGATGCTGCTTTGTGCTGGTCATTTCTTGTCTCCTTTCAGCTCCAGCCAACTCTTTGATACCCTGCTCCATGATGCTGGTGCTGAGGTCCATATACCACTTTTCCCAGAGTACCTTCCTCCCCAGCTGTCTTCCTGTTGACTCTAACTGTGGAAAAGCAGTGAGAAGGCCCTCCCCCTGTTCTACAGGAGCAGAAGACAGCGGCAGCCAAAGCCCCAGTCCAGTGGGCGCCCCAGGGAAGACTGTGGTGCACATCTCAGGCCCTGAGCCCAGCACTCCCAACCCTCAAGTCCATGCAGCGGACACACAGCGCCCCTTCCGGAGGGCTCAGCACCAGCCTCCCAAGCTCTTCCCCGTGCTCCCAGTTCTGGTAATCCCCTTTTGTCCCTTTTGTCTCCCTAGCACTGAGGCACCATCTGTCTTTCCATAATATCCTGGACCTTTTGGTGCTATGTTTTTTACTCTTTAGTCTTCCTTGTAGCAAGCTCCTTGGAGGAAATTTCCTGTTGGGATTACCTAGCATTGCCAGTCTGTCAGGTTCATCTTGCAGGCTGAGTGATCCAACATATTCCAATGAATGCCTTTTTAATTTAATGTATTCAGAGTTCATTCAACCACTTGCAAACAAGAGCCCTAACTGGTAGGCTTGGCCAAAGTCACACAAAAAAACAGAAGCTGAGTTGGAAGGCAGGCCTAACTAACCCAGGCCCAGATACATGATTTTCATAGGCATTCTTTCTCTGAGCAAGCAGACAACTTGGAACTCACTTTACATTTGTGTGGCAACAGCAACTTGTACACACACATGAAGAGAAAACACTTGCAAAGATCAAGTCTGTTTTATTTGCTCAAATTATTTCCCAGCAACAGATATATAGCCTAAAGATAGAAATTAACCCTAGCCATCCTATTTTACCATCTATGCTGCAGCTGACTCCAAGGAAGACTCAAGCTGACCCCAATTTACTAAGCCTCCAAGAGAACACGATGTGAACATTAGGGGCTGTACTTCTTAGAGTTGTTGAATGGGTTTCTTTAATCCCTAAAATCGACACCAATTCATTATAAACAAAAACTGAAAACCTCCCATGCTTCTCAGCAGCTGTTTGTGAGTGTTATCAATGCATTTGGACATGCTTTGAGAGTAATTGGTTTCAGCGATATGCTCAGTACCTCCAAGAAGGAATGGAGCACTCATTCGCCCCTTACTCCATATGGACACTAGATGGCGCCCTGGCATCAGGGAGGCACAGGCACAGCCCAGGCATTGAGCTGCCCGGCCAGAAACAATTCCAGAGCTGAAAGAGATCTTCAAATTCACCTCTTCCCAACTCATTTTAAGTTAGGAAACTGAAGAACAGCAGAGTTCAATGACGAGTACACCTAGTCATTATTAAAAGTAAAAACTGCAAAACTACAATCAAGTATAGAAAGAGATAAACTACGTTGATTGAGCTCACTGATGATAAAATGCAGCTATAATGCGTGCTGCCTCGTAAGTGCCTATCACGTGTCCAACACTGCCAAAGTCCTGGGTAGAACATCTCCAGCCCTCACTAAGATGCCCTTAACATGCATTACATCCCCCCATTGTTGTGACACACAAGGGAACCTTCGAACAGAGCAGGTTCGAGCTCCTGGAAGCTGACATAAGCAGCAAGGGAGTGAGGAGGGAGGCTTCCCCCGGCCCGGGACTGTGCACCAGGCTTCTCTTTAAGGAGCAGGCCGGTGCTTCAGTCTGCTGGGATTCTCTGTCTCACACTATACACGTCCCTCACCCAGCCCCCTCCCCACCTTGGGTGTGTGTTCAAACAGACATGAAGGGCTGAGGATGTAGCTGAGCAGCATGGTGCCCGCCTGACAAGTGTGAGGTCTTGAGCTCGCTTCCCAGTACTCAAAAGCATAAATAAATAAACAGACATGAAGCCAGGCACAGGGACACATACCTATAATTCTAGTACTTGGAGGCTGAGGCAGAAGGATCACAGCCTGGACAACTGAGCAAAACTCTGTCTTCAAAATAAGAGATCCTTAAAAATGGCTGTGAATGCAGCTCAGTGCAAAGGCTCTGGGTTTAACCCCAGCACCACATACATCCATATATACATACAGACATGGATGTGAGAATGATATTGCCAGTTAAAGGTTTTAAATCTGAAATCCAAAATATCATTCTACTGCTGTCATTCTTTTATCAATTCAAAATAATTAAAATAAAAAGCAGGGATCTTTCTCCACTGTGGAAACAATGTGAACAGGATGGGAATGAACCTCCTAGTCACTCTTTGTTGACACAAACACACCCGTAATTCTCTTACAATGCATTCTGCCAAGATCCCGAGATTTAAGGGCTTCCTTTTGCTGCATCCTAGCAACAGTTATTTGATTGTTCATCCCCTAAAAACCTTAGCTTTTCTACTAACAAACCCCTGAAATGCTTTCAGCCTCCTCAGGAAACAAAGAGTTTCTCAAAATTAAAAAAAAAAAAAAAAGAAAGGAAAAAAAAAGACTACCAAGATTTCATTATAATTGAATAAAATTTAATTTTAATATAAATTTAGTTTAAATTCAAAAAGTAGTTACAAAGTTAAAGCCTATTTTTTAAAAAAAAAGATGAATCTGCTAGAGAACATCAAATCCTAAAATGAGGATTCCTGAAAACATAAACAAAACTGCACCAGGCATCATAAGAGTCAATCAATATTATGGAAGCAAAATATTCAGATCATTGTTTCTCAATATGAGAGGGCACAAGTGCAAATGAAAGATGTATGTACGGCAGTATTTTAGCCTGTTATGTCTTGACTTTAATTCTTTATCTGTATTGCTTAAGTTTTGTAGCGAGCGTGAACCAAATAGAGCAGTTGTCTAAGTTCACACACGGCTTCTTACGTGGTGTGTGAGCCTGGGCAGCAGACAGCGCCTCTCAGTCTCCTTCTCTTTCATAAAATAACTACCACTAGTAGTTAACAACTAGCACTAAATAGAGGATGTGTATGCAAATGTTGAGCTCCATCCCTGCCTGGCACATAAGCAGGTGGCAGCCATAATTCTTTCTCCATATTGCAAATGGGACTGAAAACAATTTAAGATTTTTACAATTAAGAATCATTATGCATAATCCCCAGCACCAAAAACAATTACACAAAATACACATATTCTTTTGTCTGGTGATTCTATTTCTAAGACTTAAAGAGGAAACTAGAACTGTAGAAAAATGACTATGTATTCCAGCTACAGCAGTTTTTTAAAAAGTAAAAAACTGTAAGCATCTTATATTTCCTTTAAAAATAAATCCACAAAATTATGACACAGTCATTCAATAGAATAATATACACTGCAGTCATGGAATATTATAGCATAGATCTACATATATGGCCAAGGAAAGAAGTCTATGATATGTTAAGTGAAAAAACTGATAATGAGCTAAAATATATGCTATGATCCTATTTTTGTAAATAAAATTGTGTGTACACAGACACATACAAGTACATATACACTGAAAGAATTTGCGTGTCATCCTTGCACAGGGGCTATGCTAATCTCCGTATCGTTCCAATTTTAGTGCATGTGCTGCCGTAGCGAGCACACAGTGAAAGAATTAACAGAAGAAAGATGTGCACAAGAAAAAACAAAAAACAAGGAGCAAATGGGAGGAATTAAGTGCAGAAGATCTTACCTCCAGCTAGTAAACTTGGAGAGGATCACAGTTTACTTTTATTGTCTTTTTATTAGCTCATTGGCATTTTCTTCTTTTTTTAAAGAAGGATTTCATGTATATAAAAATATTTTAAATGACTTTTAAAAATTATGCCTCTCATGTTCTCTTTAAGAAAACTTGGTAAAGTCCTTCAACTCTGCCAAATCAATACCCAACAACAAAGCTACAGTTCAGACAATACATCCAATAAGATTTCCAATTAGGTAAGTTTGCAAGAAGGCTGGCTCAATCAATCCTGTCCTGAAAGACCAACTGTTAGAAAGCAGTTTTCCCAGGTATTCCACCTGTTATTTCTAATGACCCTACATGACAGAGATAAGTTAATCAATATCTGAGCAAAAAGCAATGTATTACCAAACTCTTGCCTAGGAAGATCTAATCTTGGCTTCCCTACAGAGGTGTTCTCTTCGTTAGCTTAACTCTCTAGAACTGGATTGCCCATCCACAGGAAAAACCAATGATTCAAGTAGCATTTCCTGCTAGCAATGCACAGGTACAAAATGAAAAGTCTATTTGTGGAAACTCAAGTTATCAAATATAAATACACGGATAATGATATACAATGAAACGGGATTTTATAAGTAACGATGGTGATGGTGACAATGATGATAAAAGAATAAATCTACGGAGGGGTTTCAAATTACTTTCCTCCAAAAAAATGGTGTCCGACCTCTAAAGCAGAGAGCAAAATAGGAGCTACTATGTTCACAGATTAAGATTTTTCAATTCACGTACTTCTCTCACAAATTAATCTTAAGACCTCAGTGTACATCATTACTTACATCTAGGTAGTGTTAGCAAATGGAAAAATGAATGTGTAGAAAACAAATATTAATGGCAAAACATAGCCAGTCATGTTTCATTTGAAAGGTTTCTTCTATTTTGCTTTTTTACAAATGGTCCTGACTGTCCTGGACACCCATACACTGAAGACATAATCATCAGCTAGAAAGCTGCTGCTCCTCATCACAATGAAACTAAATACATAAGGAGGAAGACAATACTGAAAATCCCTGGACCGGGTTGAGTAGCATCAGTTCTGCTTATGTGACGTGGGCAAATTCCCTATCAATCTGTCTCAGTTTCCTCCTCTGTGAAACGCAGACTTCAGAGTTATGTGAACAGTAACTGAGAGAAGACTGTGATTACCTAGTCACTAGCACACAGAGAGTACTCAATAAATGACGAGGTCATCATCATTGTTCAACATGAGGTTCCCCAAAGAATACAAGATGTACAGCTTCTCCACAGACAAAGAAATGTGAGAAACGCTGACCGAATTCAGTGATTTATTTATTGGTTTTGACCAGTTTGTTTCTCAGATTCTTTAATAACAAGGTAAGGTGAACATCCTATCTATGGGAATCTAAAAACATGTTTTAAAACAGTGATTATAGCTCCACCTACTGGAAACTTAACGTTTAACTGGCTGCTACTATTCAATGTTTAAAAATGAATATTTTTTAAAGAAAATTACCCAGAAAAAAAGGTTATCAGAAGAAATTGAGATAGAAAAGGAACTAAAATAAAATTTTGGATGATAAAAGAAACAATAAAAACCTACCATTTTCAATTTTGCTTTTAGGATGCGGTCCACTAAATGCTAAAAATTTTCCTGGAACAATCCAGTTGAAGTCACCATTTTCAACTCGCTGGCAGAATTTTGTGGGGAAAAAAAAAGAGAAGAAAAATATTTTATAATTTTTATGCAGTTTAGGAAATCTTCACAAAGAAAACATTTTTCACACTCTAAATACTAAATATGAAGACAAAGTAATATATCTTACATTCAAACCTGCCCCTGATTTTCAAAAATGTTACTTATGAATTCAATTCATTTGAGAAAATTTTCTATTTACAATACAAAAAGTTTAGATTATAGGAGAACTTAGTTTATTTCAATTAGAGGTACTTTATTTAAAATAAATTTGTCTCCTGGCAAAGAGTTGAAAACAAACCCTACTGATGCCGGCAATAAATAAAGATAAAAGAAAATGCAAGTAACTTTTCTTGACCATGGTACACAGACTTTGACTGACAAAAACAATTCTTAAATTGTCAGATTCATGATGATCACATTTCCAAACTGATTCTGATTTTCTGGGCTTAACCCCTGTGGTGAGTGCTGATCTGAAGACTGGGAAAAGAGCAGGGAGGAGAGAGGAACTGAGGCCCTTAAACCTGGAGAACACACAACATGGCGAAGGTCTCCTGCAGAGGCTGCAAACCCAAGCCAGAGACTCCTCGGCATTAGCTAACTAATTACCCTAAGGAAAGCTGACTGGCTGATCTTCCATCCAGATTTCCAAGAAAATTTCACTTTGAAATGTTGGCTATTTTCAACTAGATTTTTAAAATACTATCAAGCCAAATAGAATGTAACTTTGGACAGACTGATTACCAGCTGTCAGCCATAAATCTATAAATCCTTAATGGGGTACTCAGAAAAGGCTTGAAGACCAAGAAAGGGACTGGCTACCTTTCTACCATTCCATTATCACCTCTATTTTGTTCCCTCTTCCATGGGCCACAGACGCCATGAAATACTGGGTAAGGACTAAGGCTACCCAAGATTCTGAAGGTAAGACAATGCATCCACAAATACATGTATTTGTGTCTTCTCTAGGCCCTACCCCCCACACACACTGTCCCCTTCTCCTTCCTCAGAGCAAGGAAGCAACACAGTCCTCTTAGGGCCATCGATGGCTATCTCTCTTCTCCATTATATGGTGAGGACTTCCATGGGGAGAGAGCTGAGCCAAATACAGTTTGTGCTCTACTAAAGAACTCAGTGAATTTCGTTAAATAAATTAATGTTATCAAGGAAATCTGGAGCAATTACTTAACTACCCATTCTCCTCTAAATTAAAACCAAAATTTGCCATACGGTTTTCATTTCTAAAATGCAGATGTTTCTTGCCAGTTATACAACATCACAAGTGACACTTTACATGACATTTTACTGTAAATCACTGTAATGCATCAGTATAGTTGCAATAAACATAGGATCTCATCATGCCCTAAGTAAAATCTTAGATACACTATGAATGTTACGCGTTCACAACCATAGCTATCAGTTCACAGCAAGTTTTTGTTTGGTTTTATTTTGTTTTGTTTTTTGAAAGAGTCTCACTATGTAGTTCACGCTGGCCTGGACTCACTATGTAGCCCGGACTGCCTCAAACTCACTGTGATCCTCCTGCTTCAGCCTCCTGAGTTCTGGGATTACAGATATGTGCCACTATATCTGGTTACAGCAATTTGAATAGAAATATCAAATATGCAATTCTTATACTAATTAAACATTGTCTGGTTTTAATAGAAAAAACTCACAAATTAATTATCCAATGCCTTCCTGAATAAGTATTAAGCTTACGTACTACTTAAAAAGACAAGCTCTAACCATCAAAAAGACTAAAACCAATTCTTTGTGAACAGTAAAAGAAATCAGACTTCCATATTCTCTATTTCTGTATCGTTGGCCCCTAAGGAGGCTGGATAGATACATTGTTCTTTATCTGTTTATTTGGGTTATAGACATATTTGGTTAAACAGTAACTTTTTTTAATCAGTCATATAGGACAGAAGCAGTGGCCTTGCCAAGAAACATTCACTCAGAGAACCAAAAGAATACGGCTACAGATCTCCTATTCAAGAAGATAAACATTAGTTTACATCCAGCAGTATTTAAGTCTAAATAAGGATGATGGAATAAGCAAAGAGATTTAGAATATTGGATTTAACTATGAAAAACACTGACGTCACACCTCTCAGTTGACCTCATATAGCATAAGCTTACTTTGGTAATCTCCTGAAATTAGTGTCTATAAGTTCTTTCAGAGTAATTGTACAAAGACTAACAGGTGTCAATAATAGAACATTTTAAGTGGCATAAGTTAGTTTTTCTAAATATACACGCACACAAAGAAACTTCGATCAGGCAGGAGCTTCAGGTAGTTTCCCCCCTGCATCACTTGGTGAGGAAACATCAAAGCAAGGAGAAGAGCAGGACTTAGCCTCGTCTGGTATAAAGCCTCCTACCTACCAACACTATTCAGAAAAACTACGGATGTTCCAAGCTGTAAGAAAATTCCCAAACAAAAACCTGAATTCTGAAACTGATCACTTTAGGCTCTGTTATTTACTTTACATGGGAATCTTCAGTCCACAAAGGATTCATCAGATTCTTTTGAACAGAGAACTCTCCTAATGCACTTAAAATATAAGGATGAATCATACAACATTTTTCATTTTAAAGAGAAAAAAACACTTAAAAACAGTATTTCATATTTCATATCAATAGGAAGTTAACAATGGCTAATATATTATATGTTGCCATCTTTAAAATAGTGGCTCATATTACAAGGTATAGGCATGGAAAATTGATCTAACAATATAAGCACAAAGCATTCTTTTCAATGAACTAAAAGAAATTAGTAGTATAATTATCTTAGTTATTTTATATTTTTTTTCTTTTCCCTTCCTTCTTTTCTCTTTTCCCCCATCCCAGATGTTCTCTCCTTTTGAGTAGTTTCTTGCCTTTTCATCATATCTATTGTACATTTTTGGATTTTATTTACTCTTTTCAGTTTCTTATACTAGGAAGAAAATACAATGTTTATATACGAACGTCTGATTTATTTCACTTATAGTCTCTAGTTGCATCCATTTACCTATAAAAGCCTCAAGTTTACCCTTCTTTATAGCTAAGTAGTACTACATTATATAAAATTTACCATATCTTTTTATCCATTCCATGGCTGAGGGGGATTTGGGTTGTTTACAAGACTTAGTTATTACAAATTGTGCTGCTATAAACATGAGTTCACAAATATCACTGTAGTATGATGCTTTCAATTCTTCTGGGAATATGCCCAGACGGGGAATTGTTAGATCCAATGGAACCCTCTAATCCTAGTTTTCTGAGGAACCTCCACACTGATTTCTACACGTTGTACTAGTCTACACTCCCACTAACAGTAGAGAAGGGTTCCTTTTTCCCACAGTCCCACCAGCATTTGTTATTGGCTGACTTGTTGATGGCAGCCATTCTTTCTGGAGTGAGGTGGAATCTCAGTGTTGTTTTAATTTTCATATCTCAAATGACCAATGATGTTGAACATTTTTTCATGTTTATTTTCCATTTGCATTTCTTTACTGGGAATTATGTAATCATCTCAGATGCTCATTTTTGGATTGAATCTTTGAATTTGAGGGGCTAGATTTTTTCAGTTTTTTATATGTTCTAGATAGAAATTCTTTATCTTAGGGACATTGGCTAAAACTTTTTCCCAATCTTGTGGGTTTTCTTTTCACTCTGTTGGTGATTTCTTTCAATGTGCAAAAAAACTTTTTAGTAGGATGAGATCCCAGTTCTTTGAAGTACTTCCCATGCAGGCTGGGTTTTGTTTATGAACTCTCTGCTTACCCTTATTGCCTTTGAAATTTCCACCTACTTTCTCTTCTAGTAGATTTAGTGTTTCTGTTTTAATATTTATATCTTTGATCCATTTTGACTTTAGTTCATGCTGATAGACATGGATCTAGTCTTAATCTTTAGCATGCGGAAAGCCAGTATTTCCAGCACCATTTATTAAAGAGGCTATCCTTCTTCCAGTGAACATGCTTAGCCCCTTTGTCAAAGGTAAGGTGGCCAAGTTTGTCTGTAGTTGTGTCTAAACCTTCTAATCTGTTCCACTAAAACTTGGGTCTTTTTTTTCCAGCACCATGCTGGTTTTATCACAGTAACTTTGTTGTATAATTTCAACTCAGGGATTGTGATGTGCCCTGTCTTGCCTTTGTTGCCCAGGATGGCTTTGCTATTCTAGGTCTCTTCTGTTTATAAATGAATTTTAGGAATATTTTCTCTAGATCTATGACGAATTATACAACTTCTAGAAAATATATCTGTGCCTCTTGATTTATTTTTTGTGACTACTTGTTACAAATATATTTTCCAGTCCAAACATTGAAAAATAGTTGCCATTTTTACTACTGTGACAAACCTATAGTAATATAGACACTCAAAGCTGCCGATTAACAGACCGGCAACTATTGACATGGTTTCTCAGATAATCAATTTTGAAGCACAATTGCACATTCAAAAATTTGCTTAGCTTTTAATATATATGAAGGACTATAACTTGGTGTTGCACTTAAAATGAAAAGCATTCTCTAATTTTGAAGAGCCTGAATACAAACAAGATTGTCAAGAAACATAATAATAATAGCCACAAATATTTATAGACCCTGACTCTGTATAAAGAATTACTTTATTCCATACAACTGATTCTTTACAGGAACCCTGTAAGATAAGGGTTATCATCTTCATTTCATCCATTAAAGATAAAGTTGTACTAAACTTCGATAAATACCATTGGTAAAACAGTGACATAAAGACTATTTTAAAAATTAAACATGACACAACTACACTATCTTTTTAAAACTTCATTTAAAAAGTATGGTCTTTGTATTCCCCTACCTTCTGAAGTGATTAGGCAGTGTTGACAGTATAGTTGTATGGCATAAGTGCAAGTATGCTACAAACATGGGCACTTTATGAGCTTGAAGCAAAGTAAACATTTAGATTGTCTGGTTTAAATTAATTTTCCATGCCCTTTGGCTTTGAATAGTTATCAAGCTCTAGATTATT